CTGGGTGAAGTGAGACTCCAACTCAAAAAAAAAAAAAAAAAAAAAAGAAAGTGATGTATTTAGACTAAGAAAAATCATAACATTATATATTTTTAGAAGTTGAAAATAATGCAGTCTTAAAAAACATATTTTTGTTAATTAACTGCTAGGCACAGGTCTTAATACTTTTTTCTCTATATTTTTTGAGTGTGTAGTATGTACTCTTTAATCATCTCATTATATGATAAGTTTGCAATATATATATATATATATATATTTTTTAGTCAGAATCTCACTCTGTCACCTAGACTGGAGTGTAGTGGCATGATCACAACTCACTGCAGCCTCAAACTCCTGGACTCAGGTAATCCTTCTGCCTCAGCCAGACTGAGGACTACAGGTTTGTGCCACCGTGTGTGTGTGTGTGTGTGTGTGTGTGTGTGTGTGTGTATGTATATATATATATAATTTATTTATTTTGTAGAGACAGGGTCTTGCTATGTTGTCCAGGCTGGTCTTGAACTTCTTACCTCAAGCGACTCTCTCACCTCAGCCTCTCAAAGTGCTGGGATTGTAGTTGTGAGCCAACATGCCAACATGTCTGGGCAAGTTTGTAATATTTTTTAAAGAGAGACTAGAAAGATGATGTAGTCTTTTCTCTAGCATGATTGATCAATATTTGCTTTTTTTTAGTGATATTTTAGAAAAGTTATTTTTTACCTTCACAGTTTATTATTGGATATATATATATATATATTTTGTATTTTTGTCAACTTTCAGAGAAAGCTATCAAATACTGTTTGGCATGGACATTTCATGACATTTGAAGTTTTCTTGCATGGTTGCTAATCTCACGTATCTTTGAATTGAAGACACTCGTTTGCCAGGAATGTATCCTTTGTATTCACGTACTGTGAGTTTTTGCCTTCTTCTCCATGCCAGTTTGAGATCCCATCACAAGGAAATTTGGGTATTTCTCAGTGAGCTAATATGAGTCACTTCACAAACTGATTATAAAACAATTCAGTGTCTGTTACTTTCATTTGCAGTCTATCTCTTCCTCTTTTTTCCAGGCTTACTGAGATATAATTGGCACAATTATATATATTTAAGGTATACATACAGTGTGAGGTTTTTATATGTTTGTGAAATGATTATTCTCTTCTTAATGAATTTCTGTTTTGCTATGGTTGGAACTTTTTTTTATTATTCATTGCTTCTTGATGTCAGGATAATTTCTTTTGAATTTCTCACTTATCTTTATCACTTTGGTTTAATATCATCATCTTTTTATCTCGATTTTATCTCAGTGCTTTAACAACATAAATTTAAAGATGACAAAAGAAAGTGTTCACCATATACATCCACACCAGGAGTCTGTATTTTATCACTTCCTTTATTGAAATGTTCCAAAATATCTGTCTAAAGTGCTATTAAAATGTTGTATTTAAGTTAAGTTTTTACATTTCATTTTTGTTTGAGTTTCTCTACTGAATGTCAGTATGTATTTTGAAAAGAAAAGAAAAAATACCCCACCATGTAGTTGAAAATAAGACAACCACCACGAAACACAGAAGCAGTTAACTTCAGGTACTTTGAGGGAAGCCTTTCCTCTGACAAAATTCAGTTAACGAGCTTTATGTAGCTGAGACTCTGCAAAGATGTTTTTATTTATTTAAATTTAAAAATTCTTATTTATTTATTTTCTTGAGTCAGGGTCTTTGTCACCCAGGCTGGACCCCTTGGGCTCAAGGACCCTCCCGCCTCAGCATTCCCCAGTAGCTGGGACTACAGGAGTGCACCACCATGCCTAGCTAATTTTTTTTATTTTTTATAGAGACAAGGTCTTGTTGTGCTGCCCAGGCTGGTCTTGAACTCCTAGGCTCCTGCCTTGACCCTCCAAAGTGCTGGTATTACAGGCATGAGCCACCGTGCTGGCCCAAAGTTGTTTTCAAAGAGCACACAACCTTTGTCCTAATCATCGTAATCGCTGTGTTGACATAGAGCTGCATGTAAACTTTAGCCCAGTCTTGTTTACTCTGTGGCATTAAGAGTTACTGGACCAGGCCATGGCACCCACCTGGAATCCCAGCACTCTGGGAGGTGGAGGCTAGAGGATTGCCTGAGCCCAGGGGTTTGAGACCAGGCTGGGAAACATGGCGAAACCTCGCCTCTACGATAAATCAAAAAATTAGCCGGGCGTGGTGGTGCATACCTGTGGTTCCAGCTACTTGGAAGGCTAAGGTGGAAGGATCTCCTGAACCCAGCAGGTCGAGGCTGCAGTGGTCATAAGCGTGCCACTGCATCCAGCCTGGGTGACAGAGTGAGACTCCAACTCAAAAAAAAAAAGAGTTGTTGGTAGGGTTTCCCGTGAGAAGAGCAGTTTGCACGAATTGCCAGCTACCCATACTTTGTCATGTTCATGGTAGAATACAAATATCACTTGGTGATGGGTTGGGTATTTGACTTATCACTTTTAAAAGAACATTTTCTCATTATTTCAATTTTTTATAAACCATTTTAGTAAAGTTAGTCTGGTTTTTTTTTTTTTTTTGAGTTGGAGTCTTACTCTGTCACCCAGACTGGAGTGCAGTGGCACGCTCCCGGCCACCCCAGCCTTGACCTGCTGGGCTCCGGCAATCCTTTTGCCTCAGCCTTATACGTAGCCGGAACTACAGGCACATGCTACCATGCCCGGCTAGTTTTTGATTTACTGTAGAGACAAGGTCTTGCTAAGTTGCCTGGGTGGATCTCACATCTTTTTTTTTTGAGTTGGAGTCTCATTCCATCGCCCAGGCTGGAGTGCAGGGGCACACTCATGGCCACCCCAGCGTCAACC